GGCCACGAAACGTGTGAGGGGTGTGCCGAATTGGGTGTGGCTGACGCATGCGGGCGGCGGCACTGGGGCCTTCGGTGGAGCTCCCTATGGGGCCACGAAACGTGTGAGGGGTGTGCCGAATGGGTGTGGCTGACGCATGCGGGCGGCGGCACTGGGGCCTTCGGTGGAGCTCCCTATGGGGCCACGAAACGTGTGAGGGGTGTGCCGAATTGGGTGTGGCTGACGCATGCGGGCGGCAGCACTGGGGCCTTCGGTGGAGCTCCCTATGGGGCCACGAAACGTGTGAGAGGTGTGACGATGATGGTGATGATGACGATGATGGTGGGTGATGACGATGATGATGATGATGATGATGATGATGATGATGATGATGATGATGATGATGATGATGATGATGATGATGACGATGATGATGACGATGATGATGATGATGCTGATGGGAGGAGGGAGGAGGGGGAAGAGGAGAGGAGAGGGGCACCGTCTCTTCAAAACGAGGACCCAACACCACAGGATGGTTGGGAAAAAAGATAGCGAGAACATGTCCATGGTGGGTCGGAGCTTGCACGATGCTGTGCCACCAGCTCAGCCTGCGCACGAGGAGTTCGATGGCCGACGGTGCGATCTGCCACTCTTTAAACACCTGAAGGTAGTGAGGGAGTGATGTGTGTTCTGGTCATCGATGTAGTGAGCCGTGCCTTTCATCATGGCTCGTAGTTTGCGGGCTAGTGAACTATCTAGACGACGTAGTTCCCGAGGAGTAAGTACGTAGCTTTCCGGGCCTGACCACAGACGTCCCGCGACGTCTGAGAGAAATGACAACCGCTTCGCCTTCAGGGGCCTCCAGAGAACCAGTAATCTCCCAAGCGGGTCCAGCCAACATTTCCAGACTGTAGTCGGGCTTCGATTTCTCGCCGGTTGTTGTTCGCGACGTGCACGTATCCCCCAGGATGAATAAGATCCTGAACGGCGTTTCCTGATGTATGGCGCTCGGCGTCCTTGATGGCCCCATGGGTTCCCGCTGGGACGAAGGTGTCCTGCTTGCCTACGAGGATGGAAGTGTTCATCTACGCATCGAGCAGTGTGGGCAGGTAGTAATCTCTGATGATCACTCGTCGCGAAGGCATTCCTCATGTCGTAAGACTTGGCAATAAACGACAATCGTGCTGCCCCCAACTTCCATATTAAGAGCTTGGCAATCAACGTGGGAGACTCGCGTCGACGAGAGTGGATACCTCCGTAGGCCCAGTCTGGCGGGGTATATGGCGCCCCGTGCTGCACAAGACCGGCACGGAGATACAAATGCCAAAAATGATCGAAACAATGAAGTAAACGAACGCAAGAATGGATGTCGGTAGTGACGTTGTCTGTGGGGCTCTTGCCCTTTTTGCCGATCGCAACTGCGTGGCTGGTCACAGCGTGAGCTGGTGAAGATCCACAGTGGTGAACGTGGGCAATGAGGTTGACAAAGGTCTGGATGATGGTGTAGCAGCGGTCGTGGTCGAGGTGGAGCTTGCGCTTGCTGGGCTGGTGGATGCGCCTGGCAAGTGGATCGGCGTGCTGGTAATCTGCGCTTGCGTGACCCAGGCCAACCTTCAGAATACCTGGCCGCGTTAAGTGCTGCGGGCTCAGCATCATGATGGTCAACTCGATGGGCCAGGCCCAGGGTGGATTGTATCGACGCCGCTTCTCTCGCCAAAGCCGCTCCTGTATCTGCTCGAGCTCCTCAGCAGCAGCCTCGATGTCCGCCCTCTCGGGGGCGCCCGTGTGCTCCCCAGCTGGTGTCGCATCGTTGATGCGGTCGAGCATGCGTGGGATGGCGGTGGGGTCGTCGATGTGCAAGCTGACGTAGGCGGGAGAGGCGCCGCCGTTGATGGCTTCCTCGGTGAGGGCGGTCGTGTACTCGGCGGCGGTGGGGCGCGTGGTGGGCAGGGCGAGGTGAGATCGACGTCGTGGACCTGTACGTCGTCCTGCTCGTAAGCAGGCGAGGTGAGCCACTCGTGATAGATCTCGGGCCGCCCATGCGTCGCGAATATCCTGGTCCAGGCTAACCTTCCACCAGTGGTCCATCCAGCGCTGGTGTTCTCGAAGTCGGCGTTGGATGTCGCGGAGGACGTTGCCGTTGAATGGCAGTCGTCGGAGTCGGTGGTGAGCACGGAGTTTTAGTAGTGCCAGTCGATCGCGGCGTGCCTGTTGATACCAGTGCGGCTGGCTCCCCTCCTTCGTGAAGTGCTTGCGGCCACAGTCCCGAATGTGGTGGGTCACCGGGGCGTTGTGCCGTGTGGGGTACTGGTCCATCTTGATAACTCGGAAGGCCTCGCGGTAGGCGTCGATGGTGGTGGCAAGGTCCTTAATGAAAGCAGCGCGGTGGTGTCCAACTTGAAGGCCAGCTGCGAGTAGTCCCCAATCCCATTGGATGTGGCTCTGGATCGGAGCGGTGCCGCCGATCGGGATCTTGGTCTGCATGATCATCGGAATGTGGTCGGGGGCGTGCAGGGGACATCGGAGTGTGCTGTGGATATTCCAATTGATGCGGATGTACTTGATGATCTCCGTGACGTTGTCGGGGCCAATGAAGTAGTCGATTCGCGGGCGAGATCGTTTGGATCCGTAGTAGGTGTAGCCGACGTCCGTGTGCGTGTTGAACGCGGTGAGTTCGTGGCGTGCCATCTGGTCGTGTACGTGCATGCCGAACTCCGTCTCGTCACTGGCTTGGAAGGGGCCGATCGACGTGTCTGTATAGAGCTGTCGCGCACGGAGTCCACGGCCTTGGTTCAGGTCCGTGAACAGGATGGGGGTAACTCGTGTCGGAGCGTCCTGCACGGTCTTGAGCACCCAGGCCCATAGTCGTCGGCACCCGTGTCTCCAAGCGTGGTGTAGTCCAGGTCCGCTGGGTCGGGGTGGGAAGTACGCTGTAACGAACCGTAGTCGGAATTGACCTCGATGTATTTCGATGGCTCCCGCGCGGCCTCGGATGTCGGGAGTGGGTGGGTGGAGAATCTTGACGATGTCGCTGCGTCGGAAGTGGGTCTTGGCAACGGCGATGCTACAGCTTGCGGAGCTGTTGGTGTGGGCGTCGCGTCCCCATCCAAAATGTACCCAATGGTGCTGGCTAGAGTCCTCCACGTGGTGGGGCGCGTCGGGAGTCCGTTGGCGTATCTTGGTGCCCACGCAGAGTAGCACCTGGAAGCTGCGGCACGTGTCGGAGATCAAGTCCAGGCGGCCTGGCTCACCTTTGAGCGAGAACGGGTTCCATCCCATGATGGTGATCGGCTTGATCGGGACTTGGTACCGTCGGAGGTCGGGGTCGCCGCCGTGTTGTGAGCCAGGTGGTGGTGGTGGTGGTGGTGGAATCTCAGGCGCGTCAGGAGGTCGGTGTCTAGGTTCACGTGCTTCGTGAACTTCAGTAATGTCAGGTAATGTAATATATTGTAGTGTAGTGTAGTGTAGTGTAGTGTAGTGTAATATCATGTACTGTACTGTAATGTATTTGAGTATAAGGTAATGCCATTTAATGTAATGTGTGCATGCGTGTATGTATGTATGTATGTATGTATGTATGTATGTATGTATGTATGTATGTATGTGTGTATGTGTGTATGTATGCATGTATGCATGCATGCATGCATGCATGCATGCATGCATGCATGTATGTATGTATGTATGTATGTATGTATGTATGTATGTATATTTGTGTGTGTATGTGTATGTATGTAGGTATGTAGGCATGTATGTATGCAGGTAGGTAGGTAGGTAGGTAGGTATATATGTCATGTAGTTAATGTATGTATGTATGTATGTATGTATGTATGTATGTATGTATGTATGTATGTATGTATTTACGTATGTATGTATGTATGTATGTATGTATGTATGTATGTATGTATGTATGTATGTATGTATGTATGTATGTATGTGTGTATGTCTGTGTGTGTATGTATGCATGCATGCATGCATGTATATATGTAGGCATGTACACATGTACGTACGTATGTGTGTATGTATGCATGCATGAATTCATGCATGCATGCGTATACATCTGTACTGTTTACTATACATATATATATACACATATGCAACCACGTGCATGAAGAGGAAGTCCTAGGCTAAACGATCGGCCCGCTCTAGTGACATGCACTGCGGTGCGGCGAGTAGGAGTTATCGGTGGGCAAGGGGAACAATGGGGTAGGAAGAGGGAGGGAGGAGGAATGAGGAAGAGGAGAATGGTGGAGGAGGGATGAGGGAGAAAGAGGACGAGGTGCAGCAGGACCAGTGTGAAACAAGGGGGGAATGAGGGATGATGTAGAGAGTATAGGGACAGGAGGAAACGAGAAGGAGGAGGAACTGGAGGACAGGGAGGAAGAGGAGGAGGAAGAGGAGGAGTTGGAGGTAATATGGAAGGCGAGGAGCAGGAGGATGAGGAGAAATTGGAGGATGAGGAATCGCAACGGAACAATGCGAGGGATGATAATGAGGTCGTTGCCAATGGTGTGTTAGGAAGATGGTGGGGAGGGGAAGGGTCGCGTAAGGTGTAAGCGAGGCGGAAGGGGGAGGTCGAGAGGGCCCTTCGGGAGGCCCACGCGAAGCTCGAACTAGCTCGTGGCATTCTGTGCGGAACGGTCTCAGAGCCCTCCGGCAAATCCAGATGGGAGAAGTGCGCGATTCTTTTCGCCCTCTAGGGATCCTCCTCTGGAAGGGGAGGGGAAGATCGCGGGATGGAGAAGCAGGAGGAGGGGGAGGGTTGGGCGGGAGAGGGGACGGTTGGAGAAGTGGGGAGGGGCGTCCAGGAGGGGAAGTTTTTGGGAAGGGATCCTTGAGATCCTACGTTGCAAAGAAGTTGCAACATCGCAAAAAATCACGACCTCGGCCCTAGACCCCATCCCTCTGCGGCATTTTTCGATGCGGATTGATCTGCGAGGGTCCGAGGGCTTGAAGCTTGGCGAAGATGCTCGGTGTGAGATATTTGCGGCGCTCGGGTCTCATTGGCGGAGGGGCCGGGGAAGGAGCTGGCCATCCAGATCGAGGACGAGGCGAAGAAGTTCACGAGGCCAGGCCGTACAGAACCCACCCCAACACTCGACTAGACGTAAGGGTGACCTTTCGCCAGAGTGACCTTTGGTGCGGACCCGATGGGGTCCTCCGATCGCGGAATGCGATGCGATGGTAGCGTCTTGCGCGCTTGAGTTTGGCCCCCCTGCGGCCCCCAAAGAGCCGCGCACCCAAGGTCACTCTTACCCAGGGACACTCTTGCGTGTAGTCGAAACTTTTTGGTCGGCGGGTCGAGAGCGGGCCTCTTCGGGTTACGAGCTAGGCGGGGCGCGCAAAGCACCAATTGGGGAGACAGGGCGCGGGCGACCTGTGTAGTCGAAACACAGCCAGCCAAAGGTCCCCGCGAGGTCTGGGCCGACCCGGGGGTGGGGGGCGGGCGCTGGCGGGCACGGGCTCACTGCCCAGGCCGGTAGGCCGTGCCCACCAATGTGCGGACCCAGGCTGGGCCTGTCAAACGACGCGAAGATCGGGACAAAATCGGATCGGGATAACTCGAAATCTCTGAGAATCGGTGGGTTTGGAGGATGTATTGGGCGCCGCGGCCGCTCCAGAGCGTTCCGGAACGCTCTGAAAGCGCTCCAGAACGCTCTGGAGCGATTTATCCCGATCCTAGCCCTGTTTTAGCCTGCGGGTGGTCTCCCCGAGATCCGGCGACGTGAGCGAGGATCGCGGCGTGATGAGATCGGGGGCGGCCAAGGGGGGCGTGATGACTAAGGGGGGGTTGGATACCATGGCGGGGGCCGTGACATCTCCCCAGATTTCATGGCGCCTCTTCTGATTTCACTGCGTCCCTGGCCCCCCCCTCCTGGGCCGCGCACATGCCGCCGGCCATGATCTGTGCCCCCCTCCTCTTGGACACCCCCCCTCTTGGCCGCCCCCGAGGAGAGGACATCAATCGAGGAAGGAAACGCGGCCTAAACACTGTTCGACGCTGAGATCCGCGTACAGTCGGGGCGCTGAAGAAGGAACCCTTTTCGTTGGGGAGGGGCTCGGTGTTCCTTGATTGTTTCAAAGTTTGCCTCGGGTTTTCCAGAGGTTTTCCATGGGAAATCGAGGTTGAACTTATGAGAAAAATGGGCCTCGTTCCTTATGTAGGGTTCCTTAGGTCAACGCCCCGACTGTATGTGCATCACATGGCCCGGCACGTCTCGCTGGGCGTGTCCGGGTGAGAGGTTCCTGACCTGCGGCGACGGAGCGCTCCCCTGCGGGCCCTCTCGGGGTTCCCGAGCACCACGCCCGCCAGCTCGCGGTTAGCATGGGGTTCTGAAAGGGGAGGAGTCGGTGCGCCAACCGCGTTTAATTTGAGATTTCCCCGCAACAGCCCTTCCGCCCTTCTCCCTCCCCCCCGAATGTTGCCGGCCGCAGTGTTGTAGAAGTCTCGCCCGCGTTTCCTCTGTCGCCCCCTCCCTCTTTTCCCCCCGTGCGTCCTTTCTCCCTCCTTTGAAGCACAGCAGAATTATGCATGCGCATCCACAGCCTCGTTCCGCAGCTTGCAGGGCGGATGCCGTCAAAGACGGGGTCCCGGCCCATGCCCCGTGCACGTGCCCATGGGCTGCCCCAGCCTACGGCTTGACCTGACCTGACCTGGCCGCGAACAGGCACGTGTAACTCCCTGGCGGCTCTCCCTCGGGGTGCCCAAGTACCATGCGTTGAGTGGATGTGAATGTGAGTGGTCTGTTCGTGTTGAGCCTGCGCGCGAGTGAGTCTAAGTGTGAGTGTGTCTGAGTGTGAGTGAATCTGAGCGTGGTTGAGTCTAAGTGTGAGTGAATCTGAGTGTGACGGAGTCTGAGTATTCGTGGATCTGAGTGTGTGTGTGTGCGCGTGTGATCTGAGTACGAGTAGAGTGAGTATGAGTGAGTCTTGGTGTGCAAGTCTGAGTGCGAGTGGGTGGTGTGTGAGTGGTCTGTGTGCACGAGTCTGAGCATGACTAAGCTGAGTCTGCGTGGATCTGAATGTGAGCAGGGGGAAGCGGGCGGGAACTAACGAGAAGGAAGTGGGGAGGTGTGGGGACGCCAAGCGAGCAGGCTTCCTGCAACATCCTCCACAGCCTGGGCGCGGACGGACAAGCGGTCCCCTCCCTGGCGCTGCCTCCCTGGGGTGCCCAAGCGCCACGCGTGCTACAGCGCAGTTGCCATCAGAGGCTCTCAGAAGAGCAGGAGCTCAACTCGAAAGACGAGCACACCGCCTGAGACATCCCTGCAGTCTGGGCGAGAACGGGCAATGGCCCCCCTCCCCTGGCGGCTCCTCCTCGGTTTATCCGAGTTCCACACTTGCGCGATCGCGGTGATCGTGAGGCTCTCAAAGAGCAGACTCTGAGCCGCCACCAAGCAGGCAGCCCGCCCGAGGCATCGCCACGACCTGGCCGCGAGCGCACGAGCTTTTGCGTCTCCCTGGCGGCTCCTCCTTGAGGTGCCCAATTGCCACGCCTGTCATATCGCGAGGATCATGGGGCCCTCACAGGAGAGGAGTCGCAGCCACCAAACGGGCAAACCGCTCCAGACATGCCCGCAAGATGGGCGCGAGAGCGGGCAGGTGCCCCCCTCTCTGGCGGCTCCTTCCTTGTTGGGGTGCACAACGCCCCCCTTGTCCTCCCCCATCTCTGATTAATTCAAGCTTCGCGCGGCCCGCTTAGCTTCGACCGGAAGAGGTGCACTCTCGACCCGCGGATCAAAAAAGTTGGGGTGCCCAATCCAAATGCTGCTACGTCTGCTATATCTCGGGGAGTCCGAACGCGAGGGAGTCTGAGGGCGGAAGAGTCGCCGTGTGAATGCGCCCGTGGTGTGCTCTGTGTGTGGGAGTGATTCTGCGTGTGAGCGAGTCTGAGTGTGAATGAGTCTGAGCGTGGACGAGTCTGCGGGCGAGCGAGTCTGGGATTGACTGTGAGTAAGTCTCAGTAGGGCTAAACTGATTATGAATGCATATATATATACATATGTATGTGTGTGTGTGTGTGAGAGTTGTCTGCCTGTATGTGTGTGTGTGTGTATGTGTGTGTGTGTGAGTGGGTCTGTCTGTGTATGAGTGTTCGGAATTATGAGGGACTGAGTGTGATGAATGGTTCTGTATGCGAATGAGTCTGAGGGCGAGTGAGCCTGCGTATGACTAGGCTGAATCTGAGTGTATATGAGTGTGAGTGGTCTGCGTGTGGATGAGTCGGAGTGTGAGGCTGAGTGTGGACGAGTCTGTCTGAGCGTGGTCAGAGCATGAGGGTGAGTGGAGTGAAGTACGAGTGAATCTGATCATGAGGCTGAATGGATGTCTGAGTACTAGGAAGGAGAAGTGAGGAGAAGGAGGAGGAGGGGTAGGAGGAGGAGGAGGTGAGGAGTAGGTGAGGAGGAGGCGGAGGTGCCCCACCAGTAACAAGAAACCCATCTTCGGATATGGGGAAGAAGTTTTTGGAGCTCCGCGCGGACCTCCGACAGTTTCTGATCGTGCTCATGTTTTTTTTGTTTTTTTTTTGTTTTTTGTTTTTTCTTACACGAGGGGTCCGTAAGGGGGGGCAGGCGCGCCCGTCGCGTGGTCCTGCTCTGAGAGCCGCGTGGGTCTCCGAGGGTCGGTGCTGTCGGCGGCGCGCGCTCGGGGGGCACGGAGTGGGGGGGCCATCCGGCCCTTCCCGCCTTCTCGTCGGAAAGCTCCCAGCCATCCGAGGAGCCCTCCAAGCCTTCCCCGAAGCAGCGGAGGGCTTCTCAGAAGGCGCGAGGGCTTCGGGGGAGCCCCGCCGCTTTCTGAGGAGGACCTCCAAGAGTGCAGGCCCCCCCCCCTCTCCCTCGCGCCGTCCCCTTTGTACGCGCCGCCCAGTCGGTGTTGGGTGGATGCGCTCCCTTCGGTGACGAAATCCGAACCCCACCCTCGCCGATCCACGACTCAGGCAACTCGATGGGCGGCGGGGGCAGGGCTCGGAATTCGTCGAACACGCAGGGGGATCCGAGCCCTGACCCCGCCTTCATCGATTCAGGAGAATCGATGGTTGGTGGGGGTAGGGTTCGGGTGTCGCCACCTACCGTCGGTCGGTCCTTAGCGAAGAAGCAACAACGGCATAGGCAGAATTTCTCGGAGGTCCGCGCGGATTTCTTGGATCGGCGCTGGACCCCCCTCCCTGGCGCGCGGAGCGCGCCAGGGGCGGCGCCAGAGGCAATGCTGGAGACGCGGCCAGGGCGAGTGCCAACTCAGCAAGTCCGCGCCACCTCTATCCTTAGGTCGGGCATGTCCTTCTACAGGCAGATCTTGGGCGAAATAGAATAATCAAAGCTATTAAAGAAATTAGTCACAGATAACAGAGAAATCGTCCCCAGACTATTTTTTGACTATTTTTGAATCTTCCTCCTGTAGAGGGACGTGCCCGACTTGAACCCTATCCCTTCGTCTCTCTGCCGAGGGCGACGGGCATCTCCACCCCTATCTGGCGGCGCGCAGAAGGGGGTAGAGGGAAGGGGGGAAGGCTTCTCAGAAGGAGGCTGCTTCTTAGAAGGCGCTGGCCTTACATCTACAGAGAAGGCCCGCACCCTCTAAGAAGCAGGGGTGCTTCTACGTAGCCTTCCCCCCTGCCCCTGCCCCCCCCTTCTGCGCGTCGCCAACCTGTCCCTGCCTCTCTCTGCCGAGGGCCACGGGCATCTCCACCCTGGCCTGCTATGGGGGCGAGGGCCTCCGGCGGCAGCAGCTGGGGTCCCTGCGGGAGCGCCCGGAGTGCGTGGTCGGCACGGTGGGGCGGCTCTGCGACTTCATCGAGAACGAGGCGCACTGGCTCCCGGAGAACGAAAAGCGGCACGAACACAATTTCTCGGGGGTTCGTAGGGGGAGGGTTGTCCCGAGGTGGGGCTGGGGCACGGGCCCAGCTGGATGCTCCCGTTCAACGCGTTTCCTTCTTCCAGGGGCCGTTTGGAGCCATTTTCCCTCCAACCCCACCTGTGCCCCAACCCCACCTTTGGTGCCCCCCCCCGAATTTCTCGGAGCTCCGCGCAAATTTCTTGGATCTGTGCTGGGCCCCCCGTGGCGGCGCCTCCGGTGCCGCCCCTGTCGCGCTCCGCGCGCCAGGGAGGGGGGTCCAGCGCGGATCCAAGAAATCCGCGCCGACCTCCGGCAGTTCCTGTTTGTGCAGTTCTTTGCTCCCTTCGGTTCGGCGTCAAGAACGTGCGCTGGCTGATCCTGGACGAGGCCGACCACATGCTGGGCGAGGGGCTGAGCGACAAGATCAGGAAGATCACAACGGACGTGGAGACGAAGACGCGCCAGACGTCGCTGTTCTCCGCGACGATGGACTCGGAAGTCACGGACCTAGCGACGTGGGTCACCCGAGTCCCGGTGGAGTGCCGCGTCGGACTGAAGGACCCCCTGAGGGCCAACCCCGACATCGACCAGCGCGTGCTCATCTCGAAAAAGGAAACACAGCTTAAGCATCTGCTTTCGGAGGTCCGCGTGGATTTCTTGGGTCGGGGCTGGACCTTGGAGCGGGCTGGGGGGCTGAGGTGGCCCAACACTGGTTCCAGCCAGCAGAGAGGGGGGGAGAAAGGAGCACCTTCGTCCCCACGGGGGGGCGCGGCTCGACAAACGTACCAGTGTCGACCCTGGGAGGGGTCTAGGGAGTGATTTTGAGCGCATCTATCTTCAGTCCCCTCTTGGCCGATTACCTTTGGTGCTCATCCAGCTCAGACCCTTTGGCCCCCTCCAGGCTGGACCCCTCCCCGGCGCGCGGAGCGCGTCACGGGCGGCGCCACGGGCGACACCACGGGGGGCCCAGCGCCGATCCAAGAAGCCTGCGTGGACCGCCGGAAGTTTATGTTTGTGCATTTCTTTCCATTTTCGATCGTCGTCAAGGACGATGGCGACAAGGAAGGCGCCTTGAAGACCCTCCTGCGCAGGTTCTTCAGGATGGAACTCCTGGGAGGTGAAACTCAGCATCGCTGGTAGATCCGTGATCAAAACTGGCCTAATCTGGCATCGTCGATGCTTGATCCCGCTTAATCTGGCTTAATATTGGGCTGAATCTTGGGCTGAATCTGGGCTGATCTGGCCTAATGGCCCCTCAACCAGGCTTCAGAGCCTTTAATTGTTCTTGCGAGGACCTCCCAGCTAGTAAGGTCTCGGTTTGCACACAGGGCCCCCCAGGTTTTCCCGGCTGGCGTCAGCATGCCCCCCGAGAAGTTTTGGGGTGGTCTCAGCACCCCAACCCTGGGACGCGGAGCGCCCCAGGTGCGCCGTCGGAGCCGTCGCCAGGGCGTTGAGACCGCCCTGGGCTATTCGGGGGGGCCAGTTGAGGCCGGCCAGGGCTGCCTGTGGGGGCTGTCTGTTTGCTCGAAACCTCAAGCCCAAACAAGTTGCCTCCCAAGGTTCTTCTCAACATAGTAACAGCCAAAAAGCAGTACGAACAACCAATACAGTGGGGCCCGTGCCAAGAGACGCCCTGCTTGCCTCCAGGGTGCCCTGGGTTTCTTGTGTTTCGATGGTTTTGTGATGGGAAGCGCGACGTTCTGGGTTTCATGGGTTTCGATGGTTTTGCGATCGAGAGCGCGACGTTCCCACATCCAGAAATCCATGGACGTCCTCGGGCCCGAGGGTTGGGTTCCCTGTGGAAGGTTTCTTGTGGACTGGTCTCCCCTGGCGCGCTCCGCGCGTCAGGGAGGGGGGTCGAGCGCCGATCCGAGAAATCCGCGCGGACCTCAGAGAGTAAGAACCCAACAGCAGTCAAAACAACCAAGCAAGACAGCAGTCAAACAACAGTCAAAACAGCAACAATCAAACAACAGTCAACAACCAACCAAAACAGCAAGAACCAAACAACAGTCAAAAACCAACCAAAACGGTAAGAACCAACCAACAGTCAAAGCAACTAAGTACAACACACATGTCTCCTATAAGGTTCTTCTCGTCCGCCGGCTCCATCGATCCGGGCCGGGTGCTGATCTTCGCCGGCGAGTCGGACGAGGCTCAAGTCGGGCCCTTCCCTCGACAGGAGGAGTATATTCTCATGGCGCCAACATCGCAGAGCGGATTTCGTTCGGAAAACTATAGGATGGGCCCGGAGTGTCCTGGAGAATTTCGCTCCTGATTTCGAGGTGAATTTCGCGCGGTTTTTTTGGCCAGGAATGAAGACTAACAACAAATCCACGTGGAATTCACTTTGTTTGTGGCTAGCTGTTTCGGGGTTTTGCGTAGACAGAAATCGCGCAAAAATCCGCTGCAGCACGTCTGCAAGGTCGGTACAGTGTGTATTCCAAAATAGTCAAAACATAGCCTGGGGACGATTTTCGATTATTCATCATGAATTTCATGTTTTTTGTTGACAATTTTTCATTTTTCGTCCCGTCCCTCTACAGGAGGATTACATTCCCAAATAGTCAAAACATAGGCTGGGGGGGATTTTTCGACTATTCGTAATCATTCTGGGGTATTAATTTTGACAGTTTTCCATTTTTCGTCCAAAATCCGCCTGTAAGGGGGGACATGCCCGACCTGAGACG